CCCCATGCACAAATCTACACACACACCCACAACCTCCCCCACACCCCACATACACCCTCCAAACATACACCCACATCCCCCACAAACCCCATGCCCACCCACCTATACTTCCACACTCTTCCACCCAACCCCAATATACAGGAGTGAGACTTCATTTTGAGCTATTATACAGTCAACTCTATATACATAATGCAAACACATACAAATCAGGACAGAAATATTTTTTGAAATAAAATTAAAATGTGTTATTTTAGATGTTTGATGTTTAGTATATAATGTGTTTTTTTTCTGGTTCCAAGATGGCAAACCCCCTTCCCAAAAGGATACTTCCAGGGACAAGGGGAGGGACTTCCAGTGGCAAAAGTCAGGGGTCAGGGGCAGGTCTTCTGGTTCCAAGATGGCAAACCCCCTTCCCAAAAGGATACTTCCAGGGACAAGGGGAGGGACTTCCAGTGGCAAAAGTCAGGGGTCAGGGGCAGGACTTCTGGTTCCAAGATGGCGACCAGTGAGCAGGGCTCCTGTCAAGGGGTGGGGCTACCCTTGGGGCCCTCAACAGCTCACCAACAGTAATTAAGTGGCCCTCCAGCTGAAATAATTGCCCACCCCTGGCCTAGGATCAGGTATAATTCAAAGCAGATGTAGCCAGTTTTCGTTTATGTGCAACATATATTCAAATACCATGATGAGTCTGCATAAAAAAATACCACCTAACTGAAATTGTTTGATTTTGACATGGTGATCATTTTAATGTATCACAGTCCAAAATAATTAAAAATATGTGTTTGGGTCCTTACAGTCCAAAACCAACAACTCATTCCTGCTAAAAACATTTTTCATAAACTGCAGTTAGGGTGAAAAGGAAAATATAGCCGTTAACAAATCACAAAGTGAAAGGAATGGCACAATAGGCAGCACAAAGGATTTACTGTACTTGAAAGAATCCAGTCCCATTTCTGCCATCACAAGCTAAATTAAGTACAGCAATGATTGTGTTAGCTGCAATTTGAGCACAGTGAGCACCAGGGTCAAGCCCTGGAGTGGCTGCTTGTTAAAATGAAAAAACAATGGAAGCACATGATTTGCATTTAGATTGAGGGAAATATTGCCACCAAATAAAAAGCTGCATAGCTACCTGGAGAACACTAAAATACTCACTTTGATATAGAAAGGGAGCATACATTTAGCGGACACTTAGGACTAGCTACAGTTCCAAACATCCGACCCTTCTCCCACTCATGTCAATGGAAGATTTGCCAGAGCAGAACTGAGCCTTAGAAGCAGGTTTTCAGAAAATGTCTGCAAATGTCAATTTATCAGCTCTGGGGCCTCAGCTGTGTTAGCTCTAATTTGAGTGTGCAGTGCCTGTGACATGAGAGACTAAGCCATATTCTCCTTTCTGTTCCTTCCAAAGAGACTACAAACAGGGCATTTTAAAATGCCTCCTGCCTGTGAATGGTGTGTCATTTTTTCCTACAGGAAACTTGGCTTTATTTATTTAAATTTACAAGGACAAACTGGGGCATTAATCAGAGACAATTCAAAAGCAATCTCCATCATGCATAGATCATACTGAGGAATGATACCAACCTCCTTCACAAGGAGAGCAAATGACATATCTTACTTAAGATTGTCTGGCAAGGATAAATGAGGGTAAACATTTCACTCTACATAAAACAGCATCTCTCTCTCTCTCTCTCTCTCTCTCACACACGCACACGCACATGCACACGCACACGTACACACTCACACACCCCCTTCATAAAACAATGAGCCTTGCAGCACCATCTGGAGGTTAATACATTTATTTCAAACCAATGAGAAGAGCAAAGCTAATGACCCCACATGGAGAATGTGTTGCCAGCAGCTCCACTCTCGTATTAGGGAGTGCCGGTTCAATGCCTCCACTTCTCACAGCTGCAGCAATATGGCAGAGATCAAGAGCAGAAGAGAGAGAGAGTGGAGGTCCAAGATAATGGCACTCACTCTCCACAGTGAGAAACCACTCCAGGACAGGAAGAATTTCATGGAAGCAGGCATTTACTTGTGGGATTGGGGTTACTATGATACACCATATTTTCTCACATATAGCATGCCCCAGAATATAATACATACCCTATTTTTATAGACAGATTGAAGAAAAATAATCTTACCTTGGAGTGAGGATAAGGACCTCAGGTGCCAGATCTGGGACTGCATACTGGGTCCTGCTGCAGCCTTACCCCATGTGCTGGATCTGGGGCCACACACCAGGTCTGACCCCACATCCCAGATCAGACGGCACTCCAGATCTAGCTGTAGCCTGATCCTGTGCATGTGCCCAATCTAACACACTGGGTCTGGGGCTGCATAATAGGTCCGATCCCATTCCCCAGGTCCAAGGCTATGTGCTGGGTCCAGGGCTGCATGCCAGGTCCAGCTGCAGATCAACCCCATGTGCCTGCTTGATCCAGTGTGCAGGGCCATGTCATCCAATTGGGCAGCTCCCCATGGGTCTGGTAATCTGGTGATGGGGGAGCAGTGTCAGTGTCAATTGCCATGGCTCCCAGAGCCATTACAACTAATGCTGCAACCACACCCCCACTGCCAAATTTCCAGACCTGTGGCAAGCCATTTTTCTGGCATGTAGTGCATACCCCAACTTTCACCATCTGGTTTTGGGGGAAAGGTGCAGGTTATACATGAGAAAATATGGTCGCTGATATAATTACTTCCCTCCTGCATTCTTCTGACCGTAGTATAAAAACACTTCCATTTTTTAATCAAGTAGCAGACACCAAAACAATGCTAAATATTTCAGATGAAAAACTGAGGGGGAGGAGACCAAAAAAAGATTAAAGTTGGCCTAAAAGTACATGGAATCATATGTAAAACAAATCATAATCAAGTCCCCTCAGAACAAACAAGATGGATTCTGAAAACCTTAATCATAGTAAACAGCATATTAGATAATAAGATGCCCTGATGGAAATTTAGTTCAGTGTGAATAAGGGTGTCAGAAGCTGGCTAAGATAGTCTAAAAATGAATTTTGGAAAAGCCAAGTGTACAGTTCTGCCTGGGCAAATGGGTTCTGAATAAATAAAAGAAAAATTGCAGGAACTCTAACATGTAATGTCTACAAAGATACACCATATTTTTCCAAAACCGTTTTATATCAATAGCTAGGAAAATGCGTTCCCAAGCCACCTTGCTTAAAGCCCTACATTATCTGCTCTTAGGTAACCATCTGCCTTTTAAGTGGCTATTGTTGTTGTGAACTATTTCCTCCATACCATTATCACAATGAAAAGCCTTTTCAAAACAGTCTATTACAGCAGGCAAAAAAGCTTCAGAGTGAGGCTATGTAGCAAAATCAATGGTTTCCTTTGATCAGCAAGCTCACTCAGTACCATAAATTTTAAAACCAACAAGGTTTTGCTTTGCTAAGCAAAGCTTGTTAATTTGGCTCATCCATACTTTTAGCATTTTCCTAAAAAATACCATCTGTATCAGACATGTTGAAGACTTTGGTACAATATTATCTTAGCTTTGATAAATAATTTAGTATGATTCATTAAAAAATAATCTGTGAATGAATTTTCATCAGATAAATTTACACACACAATTTTTCAAATGCAGTCTGCAGTCCTCTACTATCCTAAATTGTGGCAAGTATGTTCACAGTGGATGAGGAAGATGGTGAGTGTTGAAATACCAATGAACATGGATTTTCCTTATATGTAGCTGTGCAGTTTCCTCTGAAATCTGTTGCACACATCTGATTCCTTTACTGTGAATATTAGTAACGCATTTGTACTACTGGAGAAAAATAAACCATTTTGCTTGTGTTGCAAACCACACCTATAGTACAGCAAACTTTACTTCTATTGTGACAAAATAAGTCCACAAGGACAGCATTTCATGCTCCTAAAAGGAAATCTTTTGTGCTGATATTTAGGACTGAAACATAGAAATCATATACCACTGAAGATACCGTATAGGCAACTATAAAATATTACATAATATATAGAAATATCCTAGGAACATATAAAAATTACCAGTAGTGACCTGAAAGTGCAAAGATTATAAATACTAAATGCCAAGACCTGATCTATAAAACTCTTTATGTGTGACAGGGTGACAGCTATACAGTGTCATCCCAAGCACAATTTTAAACAAGTCATGTGTTCTTTAAGAAAGAAAGACAAGGACATAGTTGAAGAATGGTGTCTTTGGGACCTGGAAGATAATTTCTACCTTGATACCCACCAAGGTCATAGAAAATGTATGCTTAAACAAAATAATATAAAAAATAAGAATGCAAATTTCCAAAAAATGCCTCCAGGACTATTAACTCTTTATGCTTCAACCTTTTAAATCCAACATGTCATCAATTGGTCAATCATTAAGCATATCAGAGACTTTTACAGGTTACTTAAGGGAATTAAGTACATGTTTAAAAAAAGCTTTTTGAATTCCTTTTTAGTGCTTTGTTTTAGGCAATATGTGAAGTTATAACATACAAATATATTTCTACTATAATAAAAAGGCCTGCTAAGTATTAAATTACATATTATTTTAAAATAAAACATAATTGGCTTAAAGACTAATTTTTGTGAATAAAAGCTAATTTAAGTGTTAAACAGTGTTATATTTTTTTGCTCCCACACAATCATTATCCTGAATCATGAATCTAATGTCAAGCATGTCGTTCTGATAAAAAAACACTGACACCCTACCACATGTTATTTCACCATTCTTCCTCTAAGGATATGATTGTCTTTTAAATATATACATTGCAAGCAGTTAAGTGAACCACCAAAAGATCTGTAAATCTTACTTACATCAGGTATAAAATATAAAGCTGGAGAAAGTGACTAGTACCAAGTCCATGTAAAATGGAGTAGGCAGGTACCTGTCAACACCCTCCTTGCAAGAGGTTTGCTTTGTATATTGACTTTTTGCCAGTCAGCATGCAGCAACAGGAGGAAAAGCAGGGTGGTAAAATGAAAGAGAGAAAAAATGAAGGAAAGGCAACAGATTTTAATGGTGGTCCTTGTTAAACATCAGTGTGAGGGAACTAATCTAAAAATACTCTATTTTCTATTTTTTTTCTTGATACATACATGCCACAGTGTAAATTAAATGTATATTATTTTTAAAACAAGTCTTGTATATAGATGATAAGTTATTTTACTAGTGTTTTAAAATGATGCACAACTGCTACCACCTGTAATTGACTCCTCCTACTTTACAGTGTCACAAGCTCACGACATCCTCTCTCCACCTCAACTTTCAATTCCCTGTACAATTCTTTCTGTACAATTTGTCCTTAAACAAAATGGGCAAGTTTGAATTCGCCGTTTAATCATTATGCAAAGAAGAACATAATCCTTAAAGTCAGATGAGAAAAAAACATGACTGCAAGCTTTATGGCTAGGAGGCTAGGATTCAAATTCCATGTTCTATACATTCATCCTTTAGAGAATACTACAGCTTTAGTCTCTACAAAAATACAAGCAGAATCAGGTCAAATGCAAATCCCTTCCTTCTTCTTGCCAACATGTTTTGAGATAGATTTGCTCTATGTTTCCTCAGTGTCTGCACAGAAGTGTACATGCCTGGTAGTATTTGCATGGCTGTGTTTATACATGAATGTGCATGTTCATTTGTATGCATGTATGATATAAGCATAGGTATGTATGACTATACATGCATATATGTACAATAGGTATGCATGAGTAGGCATGTATACAACCATGCACATTACAAAACAATTACATATAAAATAAACTTCTTTGAGTATATTAAGGTTCTGACATAAACTGATAAAGCCAGGAACTGAATAGAAGAGCTGGCACTTTTTCCTGGACTTCACCGCTAGGATGATATAAGTCATTATTAAGCAATGAGTTATTTTCAGAGCTAGCTCCCAATCCTACCCTCCTGTCCACACAGTCAACACCCTCTGCAGTGATATTAAGGATGCACCAGTATAAAGGGAGGAAGAACTAGGCCCTTAAATATTGTATTTTCTTGGTTTTTACAGTTCATCTTACAACCTTAATATTCTTTAAAGGTATATTTTGTATTTTTATTTTATTTTTTCAAATCTAAAGAGGATAAAGCAAACTGTCATATAAGATCAGACCCATTAGATTCCCTTATTTAAATTTAGGCTTCTCTGCACAATACAAATAGTTAAAACTTTTTAAAAACATATATTATTTTTCAGATACACTGAAACAGCAACTTCGTATTAATTGTGGTCTGTTGGTTAAATACATATTTTAGAGTATTTTGTAAATCCACAGTATTTACCCATTAGACTTTGCTGTCCTTTGGAGCTGTTTCAGTCTACCATGAAAATACATCTGTAGGCACATCATAGCATCCTTCTGCAATTTCTTTGAAAAGTTGTCAATGCCCATATATAGTAGCCACTTTTAAAGAAGCAGCTTGGCCATTAATATATTTTTCACAGAACCAAAGTTGATTAGACTATTTTGCAGAGCAATAGCTTACCCCACTCCTTTCTTAAGCATTGAAGTTATTAAGAATGAGTAACAAATCCAATTTTTTCTTTAAATAGCCAAAATTAACTTTACACATTTTTAAATATAATGTATTTTTTAAAAAAGTTTCTTTCCAGAATTTATTCTCTGCAGGGTTTCAGCCCAGAGCAAATTTGTCCAAACCCCTGAAAATAGAGGTTTGCACTTGCAATGTTGTCAGAACCTTGGCTCTGGCACAATGAATGTGTCACTCTAATAAAACCAGCACAATAGACTTGTTTATCTGGGGGTGCAAGAGGCAATATAAAACAGAGTTTTGTTCTACTTCAAGGTACTTAAAGGAAGTTCCATCATTTCAGAATTGTAAAATTATCTAGCTATAAAAACTAACTTTTTCTTAAACTCTAGATAATACAGACAGATGTTTTGTTATAAAAAATCTGTAGGATTGAGTAAAACTGTTAAAATATGCATATATCTACACATAAAGAGTAATTTATTGTATAAATGTGAAAGTTGTGTATATATTGGCATTTAGTAAAATGATTCCCTGAACCTGATTTTATGCATCGGACAAATATTGAAGTAAACATCTGACCCTATGCCAGATGCATCTGTTATCTATTTACATGATAGCGGAGCCAAAACAAACAGACAAACAAACAAACAAAAATATTTCTTCCAGTTATAGAAATTCACCTAACTCATGAGTTAGCTTACTAGATGCAAGTAAGTCAAGTCTGCTGCTGATCAGTGCTGCTGTTTGAACATCAGGAAAATACCTGTTTTGCTTGGCATTTTTCCATATACTGTAGAAGAAACATTTTTTTTCTTTTTCCAGTTTAGGCCAAAAGAAAGCAGTAAAAGCTAAGTGTATTGGAGAATTTGTCTTGTTCCTCTCTTTCTGTAATCTGTCCCCTTGAATAACTCATGGCACTAATTTGCATCGGGAGAAATGCCCTTCTAGGTTCATAATCCAAGTCCTGCTTTTGCAAAGGCTTGTAAAAGCTACTTCCCGAAAAAGGATAGAAATGTAAAAAAAAAAAAAGTGCTTCAAAAGAATTTGAATTGTTGTATTTATAGATACACTATCTCCAGGAGAAGTGTGGAAGTGCAAGCTCTCATGGCACACTGAAGGGGTTCTTGTGACAGCCTTTCTTTAGGTGTTGCAAAACATTTTGTTGGTGACCTCAGTGAAAACTTCCCTGCTTCTAACCCGCCATCCATCTTTGCCTCTAGTTCTTATTCAGCTACTTTCTGGCACTGTCCTGGAATGTGGTGGCTTTGATCATTGTCCCTGCTAAGCCCCTGTTACTGACCCGACGTACAAGTACTTTAGAAACAGGTATTTTTGTTCTGGGTATCTCACTTTTGGCCGGATGATGGTGTGCAGCATGATGGCTGTTACTTGCATCTGTTGCATGGCTGGCAGGAAGCGATGAGAGATGTTTAATGCTGATAGGTATCTTAGAGTCCTTGATGGAACCTGCAGGTGTTTTAAGTGGGCACGTGGTTGTTATTGGTGACACCGGTTTAGAGCGCGATACACAAGTAACCTCTTCATCAGAAGGCACCCCTGCTACATTTTCATCTGGGTCAGCATAGAGATCATAGAGGGCATCGCCACTGTAGCTGTCCCTCGGTATGCTCTCTTTCTGGACACTACTGGTGCTGTCTTCCTCAGGACCAGGAGTCGTAGAATCCCAATAGCCCTCATCACTGTTTGGGATGCACTCTTGCTGCTCCTTTTCCCTGTTCTTTTGATCCTCTTTGTGGGTGAGATGAATTGGAATCTGGTGGAGACCAATGCGTTTAACCGTTGAACCATTCTGGGCCCCCTCAACACACTTGCTCTCCCTTGAGATGTCAGGCTTTTTTATCCCGCCCCCACCGGGGATGTCTTGGACTTGCTCTTCTGTTTGTGACAGCATATCCCAGAACTCCTGAAGGTAGGTGTCATCCACTTGGTCTGGACTTGCCATCTCCTCTCCTCCTCCTTGGTAGGCCACAACATTTGGGTTCTTTTTGGAGGTGCCTGGCTTGCTGGCCCCCGGGGCGCTCTTGTCACAGCCTCCACTGCTGCTGCCCACTTCATCCTCCTGGTCGGCAATAATATCTCCACAGCCTGTAAGAGAGTCAAAGCTTTTCAGTGAAGTCACGTCAGCAAACATCAAACAAATACGATCAATCGATTGCTCTGAGGGTGGATCAACAGAGGAAGGGTCAGGGGCTGCTGCCGTCTCTTGACCGCTATCACATTCAGGTTCAACAAGGGGAATAGTCTTTATTGGAATGTCACCTGTTATGGCTGCATCCTTCGCAGTCCCAACCTCTCCTGCACCCGGATCTGGTAGCTCAGGGTTGTTCTCCTCGCCTCGGTTTCCAGCACTAGCAGGATCCTCTCCTGGTACGTTTCTGTTGTTCTGCAACTCCCCATCTCTGACTCCAGGCTCATCTGCTGTAGTGTGCACATCGCTGCTGCATTTCTCACAAGACAATTCAATGTTAATTTCTTCTGTGGTGTTTTGAATTTCAGACAAAGGTTTTGGTGCCTCCTCTTTGATGCATTCCAAGCTGGCCGTCAAAGAACCAGGCATAATGAGGCTGGATTGAATTTCTGATGTTTCCCCCCTTTCCTCCTTGCCATTTTTGTCCTTTTTATGCCATCGCATACTGCTGAAGATCCCTTTCAGCCCTTTCTTTTGTCTGCTGCCAGCCCTCTGATCTGCGTTCTCTCCCTTGCCATTTTCCGATTTCCCATTCTTTTTCAACAGAGAGAAGAAACTGTGCGACTTCGCCACCGAGCTGTTTGCTGAAACATTCAGGCTGGCTACAGCCCTAGTGTTTATATCCTTGTTCTGCTGATCACTGCCACCACCACCACTGCTCAATTCCTCTTTCTTGCTGCTTTCTAGCACAGCATCAGCTAATCCATCATGAGTCTTGCTCCGCACCATCCCCGGTTTACTTGAGTCTTTCCCATCCCCACCTTTGTTTTTCACCCCAAATATGCTGGGGATGGTGCCCCCAGATTTTCTCCTTTTAAATAATTTGAAAGCCGTTTTGTTAATCTTCCCGGATGGCTGCTCAACTGCCGGAGTCTCCGCACAATCACAATGCAAGTCCATGTCTGCTGCCGACCGTGTCCCTGATCCTGCCTCCTTTCCCTCCTGCAGACCCCACAGATGCCTGATACTGATTTCCCTCACTGACAGCCTCTCTGCTGCTGCTGCTGCCTCCTGCTCATCTCCATGGCAACCCAGGGAAGGATAAGCAGCTTTCCTCAGTCGTGGGCCTGCGCCAGGCCACTGTCATCCATTCTAAATCAACCTGAGCTGCAACAGCAACACCAATAGAGTTCGTTCCTCCACCCCTCCCTAAAAGGGCTTATATAACTTAACCCATTTAGTCCTGCTGTTGCTCACTATCAGCGTGCAGGGTGCTTTGTGTATTTTGGGTGGAACACTTTGTGCTATTCACACATCACGTGGCATCTTTGGGATGCTGAAATTCAAGTGCAGCACTCAAAGCTCTGTGCTGCATTGCTCTACGACTGATGCTAATTTTTAATAATAATGTAAGTTGCAGCCCAGAGTGCTGCACGCATCAGGCACAGCATCGCTTTCTACAACTGCATAACTCGTGTAGTGGAAACGCCCTCATTTTTCTGACTTTCTTTGTCATGTGAAAGCCTTTCTCAAAACCCTTGGTCCTTTTCCACTTCTGAATGCTGCTTTTCCTCATTGTCTCCTCTCTTCTGCCTAAATACTCTGTTCTTCCAGACACTCGGATGCCATAGGAAAGATGCTCAGATGCTAGGGTGCATGGTATTAGCTGCTTAGAGCCATTGACAAAATGACCCATTCATTGCTGATTTGTTTCTTTGTACTGATGATTGTTACTTATGTTTTCCATTGTCTCCTTTTTGTCACTTTTGCTCAGCACTCTGGAGTCAGATGTCATGAAAACAACCAAAAGGTGTCATAAACATAACAAGGATATGAACTCCACATCCAAGATGGGACATTAACAACCTACTGGTGTAAAAGACATAGTACAATAGGTCAGGGCTGTGGAAATGTTGGACTGTCTTAATAATTCGGTCTGAATTAAAGGTGGTAGTGAGTGTAATACAAATCAGGTGGCATGCAACATGCTGAACCCATCACAATGAAATCAGAATGGTAGTTCAAACCTAGCTCCTAAGACAGGTCCTGGAGTAAAGGATCATACCTTTGTGACTCAGCATGTGTTTACACTGCAGTCACAGTCACTACATTTAGATCTTCAATGGGTAGAATTTGTTATAGCACAGCTGAAGAATAGGTTCAGTAGAGTCTAGCCGCAGCAGCACAGAGATAAGCATAGGCTGTAAAATCTGCCCAAGCACCAGGGCAAATTATCCTGTGCTGAGTTGGCATGAGACTGCTGCCACTGCCCAAACTACATGCACTGCAGTCACTGCAGTGTAGACCTACCTTTCAACTGAACAACAAAAGTGTTAAAGAAAACTCATATCGTGTACCCTTTGGGAAAATTCCAGTCCCAAAGAAGTCTGCAGTTTTAACTTCGCTGGGTCCAGAATTTACCAAGTACATAGGGAAACCCTTGGAAGTTTTTAAGAGCAGGTTAGACAATTGTCAAAGATTGTTTAAACAGGGTGCTCCTACCTTGAGCTGGGGGCTTGATGAGATAGCCTCCTAAGGTCCTTTTCAACCCTATTTTTCTATGATTTTTTTCAGATTGTCTTAAATTCACTGCACTCAGACAACTCTACAAAGAGAGCAGAATGAATTACTTATTGTGAATAATTTACTTGGTGAATTTGGCCCTTTTTTCTATTCATATATTATCCATGAATAAGCTTCAATGTGCATTCATCATTTCTAACCATTTAACAAAAAGATTGCTTGAACATTTTTCAAGTCATAGGTTTCATCTCCTCCTTCTCCAACACACAGAAAACAGGACAAAATAAACAAAGTCCATTACTTTGACTGGAGGAAAGAGAAATATATCTTAGTGGTTGTGTCTACACAAGACACTAGCTGCACAGTTGTTACTGCAGTCATTTAGTACTTGCATACACAACAAGTACTAAATGACTGTGCAGTAACTGGAGTTACTGCAGAATAGTGTCTCCAAACAGCTTTTTAGTGATGATGACTGCGCAGTAGCTCATTTCTACCGCACAGTAGCTCATTATTACTGTGCTGTAGCATTGCATTATGCTTCGTGCCATGCAACACTACTATGCAGTAATAAGCTACAGCGCAGTAGTAACAAACTACTGCACAGTCAGCATCTTGTGTAGACACGGCCACTGTGTGTACTTTATAAATGTAGCCAATGCCACATAGATAGCCACGAGAGACAAGTCATTATGGGTCATTCTCCAGTTGTTCATGTTAACTACGCTTTTAAATAGTCATTAATCATGGCGTGTGATTGGTCACCTAAGTCAACAAGTTGTATCTCTATTTTCTAATTAGACCACTTAAACTTCTTTTAAAAAGGAGAAATAATACCAGACGTCCTTGTCCCCATGCAAACACAGATGTGCATACATGGAATAGCCATGTCTTGAAAGCCTGAGTCAACTAAATCTTGGGGACCAAGGGACCACAGCAGCTCAAAAATATGGTTGGACCCTTTTGGTCCCCTCTCAGAGACGGTGTCCCTGGAAACAAGTAATATAGGCCTGTGTTTGCAAAGATACAGAATCCCTTGTGCAAATAAAGGGAATCAAGATAAACTGAAAGAGGGTAAAGTCATTTTTTCACAAATTCTTTTTCTTTTTCTTTTTTAAAGATTTTTCTGCATTTTAAGAGGCTTTTGGCAGGTTTATAAGTATTTAGTATTATTCCTGTGGGTTTAAAATCCACTCCTGTTTTAGGGCATCGGACCTTTTTATAAGACCTCTTTATCTCAATAAGCTTGATGTGGAAGTCTGTCCCTGACACTGAGGCCCACAATCTCTCTCCCTTGGCATGAATAAGTGAAGGGTATTGACCAACGCCTCTTAAAGTGAAAACAGATTGGAAGTTCTGTTTAAACATTATTGTAAGAGAACCATAGTTACTGAGAAACTTTGCAGCTGTCCAAAGTGCCGCACATGGTAGTCATATAGTTAAACAGCAAAGGCAGGGATAACTGCTCCAAATACAGAACCCTCAAGTGCTTCAGCTAAAGGAGATACTCTTTAAACTGCTTGCAGTAGCAGTCCTTATATAATTGACCTACTGAGATTCCATATAGTAGGGGATGCATTAACCATACACTTCCAACCATTTTGTACAAGGCTCCTGTAGAAAATCTTTTTGTATAAAGCAAATATAAAAAAATGTAAAGCAAAATTACCAAGAAAAGACTGTTGAAAACTAGTTTATGTTTTTATAAAAAAAATTTCTATGCATTCAAATCTTAGAGCCCTTAATCATGGATAGATTCTGCTTTCTTATTTACAAAAGTAACCCCCTTGACATATCTAGAACTATTCACATAGGTAGTGTTCACACAGGCTACTTGTCTAGCTTTTACTCCCAACTCTGCTACTGACCTGCTAAGTGACCTTGGGGAAGTCACTTTATTTCTTAGAGCAGTGATTCTCAGTCCAGATGCCATGGCACCCTGGGGTGCCTTGAAATCCTTTCGGGGTGCCACAGGATGCCATTCAGCATTAGCACTGTTACGTGTGCAAACATGACTCATAAGATAAACTAGGTGTGCCAGACATGCGCACACATGCATTTCCCTGGGGACAAATAGCAGTGGCCCATAGTTGTGCCACTGCTATTTGTCCCCAGGGAACACCCATGCTCTGGTGTGTGGCAGGTTGTGCCAGGTTGGATAGGGGAGGCTGGGGCCAGCACCTGGGCAGGCCCCAGCAGCCTTATCTGGGGACCTGGGCGCCCCTCAACACTCCAGTGGCAATGATCCAGCACAGGGAGCCTGGCCAGCAACCAAAGTGTGACTCTGGCCAGCCAGGCTCCAGTTTTGGGCAGTGCACGTTGCCACCATGTGTGCCACCCAACTTTTTTCAGGCATGGATTTATTTGACACCAGGATCTCCTGCAGTGCCACATACTGCATGTGCACGCTCATCTGGACACACACAATGATTTCAAATAAGAACCCATTGTGTTAAAAACATTCTGATGTGTTGTGGTCTTTCTCAGTTATTTGTAACAGAAAAAATGCTCTATTATTTTTCCATAGTCAAAAAAATGAGGGAAAACTGAGAGCTGGCATTTCCCAAAGGCTGCCTTGAGCCTAAGGAGGGTTGCCTTGAGCCGAAAAAGGCTGGAAACCCCTGTTTTACAGCCTCTAATTAAATTAGACCAGAAGTCTCCAAACTCCCTTGGTCCATGAGCAACAATACTAAGTGTTACATACTGCAGGCAACACCATGCTTAACTTTCCCTGTCAACCTCAGTTTTAACTTCTAAGTTTTCTGAGGCTGTAAGCAACTTCATAAGGTCTCACAGTCAGAATGGGTTAAGGACTCTTGAATTAGACCATAAACTTTGCACAGTGCCAGAACAATGGAGCCCTGACCTCAGCTGAGGCCACTAAGCACAATTATAATAGTAAAAATAGATAAGCAGAACTTGGTCTTCAGTTTTTAGCTAGTGTTTACTGCAGACAGACTCTCTTTGACTCCACTGGGAGTTTGCACTGTTTAGCACTAAATTTATATCAAAGAAACAGCTCAGGATTAAGCCCATAGAATTTAGCAATAGAAATGACCTCTAGGAAGTCATCTAGTCCACTGCTTTGGCAAGGTTTTGTGGGTTTCCCTTTCCACATCTGGTTTGAGTTATATGTTAGAGCAGAGGGCACAACACAATATGATAGAAGTGTTTGTTAAGCCCATCGGGTGGGCAGGAATTTTTCATTTCATACATCATTTATAACTAGCTACAGTGAATCCACAAAGTCAGCAGCACTCCTCTCAACTTTCTCTCGTTACTAAGGATATGCCTAGTTTGGAGCTGAAGTTCCTCCTCTCTCTGCTGAAGTTACGTGCTTTCTTGCTTTTCCTATGATAAATTATTTACAGCTCTGTTTCTGTTTTCATTTACTCTACCATAAATATGGAGTAAATCAACAGAACTCAATGAATTTACATCTGTGTAAAAACTGGAATAAAGAAAGCATTGCTAGTGCAAAGTGAGACAGAAAACAAACCAGAGAACTGGATCTCACTTCATTTGAAGGTTTCTCAGCATTATGATTTAGCCTTTGTCCTGCCATTTGGAAACCTTAGTCAGCACCATGCCTGCACTTGGACGATGGTGGAGTGGTAGGG